CCCTGCACAGGCACACCTGGCACGGGCACACCCTGCACACCTGGCACAGGCACACCTGGCACAGGCACACCCTGCACACCCTGCACAGGCACACCTGGCACGGGCACACCTGGCACACCTGGCACGGGCACACCTGGCACAGGCACACCTGGCACGGGCAGACCCTGCACACCTGGCACAGGCACACCCTGCACAGGCACACCTGGCACGGGCACACCCGGCACACCCTGCACAGGCACACCTGGCACAGGCACACCTGGCACACCTGGCACGGGCACACCCTGCATACCTGGCACGGGCACACCTGGCACAGGCGCTCCCTGCACACCTGGCACAGGCACACCTGGCACAGGCACACCTGACACGGGCACACCCTGCACACCTGGCATGGGCACACCCTGCACACCTGGCACAGGCACACCCTGCACACCTGGCACGGGCACACCTGGCACGGGCACACCTGGCACAGGCACACCCCATACACCCTGCACAGGCACACCCTGCAGCACACCCAGCACGCCCGAGCTGCCTGCTTGCCCGGCTTACAGGGTTGTGCTGCAAGCCATGGTGTGAAGCTGTGCTGGAGGTCTGCTGCATGGCACTCGGGCAGTGCCCACCTTGAGCCAGCTGTGGGATGGTCCCTTCAGTGCCCTGGCTGAAAACATGTGTGCCATCTCCCTGCAGTGGTGGTGGGTGGTGCTGGAGGGCAGGGATCAGTCTCTCCTACAGCACAAGTTTGTACAAACTTCTGAAAAATACTCTCCTTAGAAATGGGCCTTTTAAGTACACCTGGTTTATTTACCTCTGGAATAATTTCTCCTGAGAGGAAAGCAGTTCCCCATAGAGGGCAGAGAAATTCAGTCTTTCTACTGGCTGCCTTTGGTGCCTTGGAAAATATTTTTGAATACATCTCTTAAAAATCAAACAAGAAGTGTGTCATGCCCACAGGCAGTGGTCTTCTATTTTAAAGTGTGTTCATAGCAAACATGCCTCTGCTCCAGAGACTCTCATGTGGATTGTGTTTTAAACAGCAAACCGATAGCCAAATTCAAATATATTTTCACACCATCTTTTTTTGGTTAAAAATAGCTTTGGAATGCACAAACAAACTCAGACTGATGTTTGCTTTTTCTTACTTTATTTGTGCTGTTCACCATCATCTGCATCAAGGGCTAAAAATACATTGTTCTTCCCAAAACGTGTCCTGTTTTTGAAGGCTGATAACTTGCAGATGATTCATGTGGTAGATAAACCTGCTGGCTGAGGACATGGATTTGATGCATTGCTGGAGAATACTCAGGGCCCTGTCTTACACATAGGGTGCCCAAGAGGGCACAAAAGTTGCTGGGTTCTCCTGGCAGGAGGGCGATGCTCAGTGTCTGCCCAGACTCAGGAGCTCTCACTCAGGTGGGGTGGGAGCTGCTACCTCTGCCTCATGCTGTACTGAGCCCCTCTGTGAAGAAGAAGCATCTTTTTTTCGTGTGGCAGTGTGGTCCAGAAGATTAATGATGACATTTTATTGAAATTCACACAGAGTGGGGATCTGCTTTAGAAAGGATTTAAATTAAAGGGGCAGAGCCATGCTGGCTGTTGGTGGGTGCTGGCTCTGTGCCTGGCTGGGGTGAGTGCCCTGCTGGGGGTGGGTGGCCACTCTTGCAGTCCTCGGTTGTTGGCCGAGCCCAGGGCTCCAGGGTGTGGAGGGGGCTGACACCGAGTGTAGACAGTTGGTAGACAGTTTTGGAAGCAATATTAAAATTGATGTTTGCTGCTTAACCTGACTGGAGTGAGCTGACAAGAGCAGCATCTTCTGCTCTGTGGTAACATTTCCCCATGTCCTCCCTTTCCCTCAGGCATATCTCGCTGACACTGCCAGCCAGCTTTCGGGGGAAGAGTCACAGCACCCGCCTGGACTTGGAGCACCAGCACTCCAACCTGTACGCCATCTCAGGTGAGCTGCCACGCTTCCCTGCTCTGTGCTTCACTCGCTACTGCTGGGCCTTTTCTTACAGTTTTCTGTGTGGTACTATTGCACCTGAACAAATATTGTCATAGGCATGGTAGAGTCACAGCACAAGTTGCACTCCATTACATTGTTTATGCAAGAGGAAAAACACTGCATTTAAACCTGACTCTGTCAAAGCCTAGTTAAAGTCTAGTCCCTTCATCTGGTTGAAGGAGATTTTAGGACAGTTTGGAAATCCAGCATAGGGTTCAGTGGGCTGTGCAGTTGAAACTGCTTATGCATGATCAGGGAAGAGAAGATGGCATAAATGTCCCATTCACAGGTTCCACCTATTAATAGTGAGTGACACTTGTAACATGGGAACATGGCATTAATTCATGTACCATAATCAAAGGGTTATTTAAAAAGGTAATCTCTGCCTGAAACTGCAGTTTCAGGTTCCGAAAGAGATAGAACATAATAATTGCATAATCCTTGTCAGTCCTTGTTTCTCTTGCTACTCTCCTACCCTAATACATTTGGAAATGTAAGGGAAGGTGTGTTCCTGTGTTTGCATGAGACAATTCTGCCTGGGGGTAGAAAGCTGTGCTTTCTCTCCTAGGAAAGCACCAAATACACCAACTGCAGCAGCTCTGTGTGGGTGTTAGTGGGACTGCCCTTGCTACAGGATGTGCTGGCCTCTGCTTGTGGTGCAGCCTGAGGAGGTGCCTGCTTTACAAAGAGCCTGAACGCTTTACCAGATCCTTACAGGCAAAACACAAAACAAGGCCTTGTGGAACCGGACAGGGCATTAGTTCTTCATGTCTGCTTCAGCACATTTTCAAGGATATAACTCTTTATTTTTCCTCTGATTGTACACTCTCCTCCAGAAACACTGTTATGAGTTGTGCATGTGTTGTAATGGCTATTACAGCTGTGAGCTCTTTCCAAAGAAAGGGTCTTGTCATATGACACATCCTGTGCATTGACAGGACTTTGTGCACAGCTCCTGACCACGGCTGCCTTGTCAGCAGCTGCAGTGAGGTGCTGCGACAGTTCTCTTTGTGTGCTTAAACCTTGCCGAGGCAGATTAGCCCCCAGACACGCTCTGGAAGCCATTCCCAAGTTTCCTGTTCCGTCGGTGTCGTGCGCAGCCAGTCTGGGCTGTCTGCAGTGCTGCTGCAGTGCCATGGCAACAGGAGATTTAGGAGCAGGCTGCCCCGGTTGGGCTGCTGCCAGGGCTGCTGTGCCGAGCTGTGGGTGCACAGAGGATGTGCGGTGGCGAGGGGAGCTGGGCCTGCAGCACACACAGCGTCCCTCTCTGCGTGTGGGCAGCCCTGTGGGCCCCCTCTCTTGGCTCCCAGCTCAGAACAGGGGTTCTTAGGGCTGCTGAGGGAAACAAAAGCCATTAGGAGCAGTTTCTTCCAGTTTTGGTATGGCCTCAGTCTGTCGTTGGCACAGGAGGAGCTGCTTGGGAAGGGAGGGCTCTAATGGGGGTAGAATGAAGAGCTGCAGTGTGGTCTCTCTTTGCTGTCTGCAGACACCCCAGATTTTCTCAGTATTCAGTTGAAAACAACACTTCCAGCTGTGGTTCAGCATGTTTGTGGAAGATTAAATGGATTTTGACTGTCAGTCCTACTTTGTATCGCAAATATATTTTGGCGGAATGACAGTATCCTCACTGGAACTGCCCGTTACCCCTTGGGCTGTGTAATGTAGTTGTTGTTTGCACAAAACTGGAGTCAAGGAAAAATTGGTCCTGAAAACAGCAATTGCAATCTTTAACCAGTCTTTTGTCATTGCCAGCCTTGGCTGTGACACCCTGGGTGACCAGAAAGTCAAAGAGACTTCTCTTGGCACACACTAACAAGTGAGTCCCTGGCAAGGTGCAGATAGGGAAGCACTGCCCAGAGCCTGTCACGAGCCACGGCAGCACAGCACTGGCACTGCTGGCATCATCCTCGTGCCCAGCAGCCTCCCTTGCCCCATGCCAGGCACCCAGACCAAAACACAGAATTAGTTCTACGCTGATGTGCAGAACATCTGTGGGTGCTGCTGGGAGCAGGATGCTGAGGAGCTGACAGGTTTAATGTGCATGCTGGGGCAGGCAGCTGCTGGAAGAAGAATGCCTCGCTCCAGACAGACCTGTTGACAGACATGGCTCAGTATTTCACAGTGCAGTCTTTCCTCGTGGCCTTCAGTTTAATTAAGATGTTGTGACTACATACTGCCTTCATTTCAGACTTAAGCATCTTCTGCCAGCATATTGCTTTGGCTTATCAGAGGCACAAGCACAGTGAGGGAGAAGCAGCCCTTGCGGGCAGGCATAGATAATAACATACAAGGAAAATTCCTCAATGAAGTGAAAAATTATTTATAATAATGGTACTCAAATAGAAGGGAAATAAGTCACTCTAAGGGTACATAAATTTTTATGATAGTGTATAAACAGCCATAGCCTGCCTTGTCTCCCATCTATTCCTGCAGAGAATGAGGGCAACATCTAGCATAAAGAAAAATACAATAAGAAAATGAAGAAATGAATGGGAAGAGCTGGAGGATTGATCACCCAGTGTATTTGTATATCCTGATGTAAAAGGTGCTGCTGACAGGTGGCCAGGTTTCTTCTGTATAAAACCATGTGTGTGCTGTCAGGGCAGTGTGAGCAGCCTTGTTTCGATTGATGAATTGCCTGCTTTCTTGATTAAACCTTCCGTCACTTACAAAACAAAAAGCCTGTGTTTCGAAGGCAGAGTGGGACATGTCAAAAAAATCTGTCTGCTTTACCTTTGTGCAGATGTTGGGCACAGACTGTAACATGTATTATTAAAATGAATGTGGCATTTACTGTGCATTATTTCTTTCCTGGGAGAAGGGACCTGTAAATTATATGCTAATAATAAGCTTTAACCCTTTCAGGAACCAAGAAAGGCAGGAGTGTAAATATTCTGCAGGCCTCACTTAATTGGATGGGCTGTAACACCACCACAGCACTGTGAAGTTACTACGTAGTGGGTTCCAGGTTGCTGCCGATGATCTGTGCATTCTGCTGAACAGAGCTGTCTTTTTCTTCCCCCTGAAATTTCCCTGTAGCCATTTTCAGCGTTACATTACAGACAGATGTGTTTTGGGGCAGCAGCAGACTTGTTTGTGTAATTTGACTCTGGGACAATCTCATCCACTCTCTTGGCCTGTTCTCAGATTAGGATAGAAATTGTGTTATATGGAGTCTGTCAGTCTGTACAGCCCCATCAGAATGTGTGCATAAAGCAATTAAAGCCTCTTTACACCAGTTTTGTACAGGAAGCAATTGTATGAACATCCAGATCCTGCTGCAGCTGGCAGTGTGTTGCCAGAAACCAACTTCAGTCATATGAACCTTTCCAAGGATATTTATTCTGGCAGAAATTTGGAGATAACAAGATGATCAGTTACCCTTGGGTAGGACCAAAGTTCATCTTTTGAACACATAAATATGGAAACTGTGCTGAGAAAGCAGTAGAACAAAAGCAGAACATACTTTGATATGTATTTGTTGGTAGTATTTTCAAATAACACTTGCCAGCTGTCAGCCTCAAACAGTCAAAATATTTGTGCAAATACCTTAAGAAATTATGTTAGCTGGACATACTAACATGTCATCCATAAGTTTGGGCATCCATCCTCAAATCATATTAATCCATAGAAAGAAAACGGGATCCAGCACAGCATCTCTCACCACTTGGGGCATTTCAGTTCTGTTCAAGACCTCGGTGAGCTGCAGGTGAAGGTTTTCATTCTCTTGAAGAGGAGAAAAGCCATGTCCTCTGGAGTGGAGCTTAGATGTCAGATCCCAAAAATTAGCACACTTTGTCTTCTGATAAAGCAATGTCCGTGCTGTGACTGAGAGCGCAGCACTTGATGCTTGTTTTGCTGAGGAGCGGTGGCTTTTCCAGCAGTCATTTGATGCTGAAATGCCTTTGCATGTATTTTGTACCTTATAGGTACTGTTTAGTGGTCTTTAAACACTTTAATTGATCCATATCAAGTTACTTGTGTGAAATATTTTTGTGTGAGAAGCTAGGCTGAGCACCAGCGAAGGGAAGTGCGGCCGGCTGCCAGCGCAGCATTGGCTGCAGTGTGTTGCCAGTGTGCCATGAAGGAGGAGGTTTCTGTGTGCAGCTCTTACAGGTGCCAGTTTCTTCACAGCTTGTTTATTTTGTAGTCACACACCAATATTTATTACCTTAGGGAAGTAAATATTTACTTATATGGGCACTTATTATATTTTTATAGAAATAATTTTATGATATTTAAATATTTATTGTCCTCTTTAAGACACTTTCTGTAAAAGGTCAGAGGAAACTGTGGTCTGAGAGTTTGGAGAGGGAAACATTTGTGAGCAGAGGCTCCAGTCCAGATTGTAGCTGCTGGGTCACACAGGTGAGCGTTCCCAGCAGGAAGCCCAGGGCAGGGTTGGGGAGGGGCCGAGGGTCTCAGCCTGGTGCAGCCCGGCCAGGGCAAGGGGAGCCAGGCTCTGGCTCTGGCCACGGCACCAGCTCTTGCTGAGCTGGGCTTTCTCTGCAGAAGGATGAGCTGTTTCTGCAGGCACTGCAGCGACATTTGGCGTTCGCTCTGCGCAGATTTCTAATCCAGCTCTCTGGGGGCAGCAGAGAGCGTGGAAACTGATGTTAATGGTCTGGAAAAACATCAAAGCCAGTGGATTCCTGAAAAGGAAGCTGAGTTGCTTTTCCATACTGCAGGTGGGGGCAGGTGTCACCCGTGGGGGCAGTGGCATGGGAAGCGTTCGTTTCTGGATTCCTCCCGTTCAGGAGGGGCCCACTTGGAAATGCCTTGGGGTATCTACCCACCCCCCCGCCATGTTTTTTCTGTTTTTCTTTGGTAATAACAAAAGAAGTTTCTTTCAGAGGTCTTTCTAGATTTAGATTTTGTTATATTTCTGTGCCCATATGTCAACTTCCTTCTTGTTGCAAAATGCCAGGTTATCTGGCCACATGTGCCATTTC